ATCGCGGTATTCCATCCATCCGTGTGTCGCGAAGATGTATCAGGATTTGAGGCAGCATTACTGGTGGAGGCGGATGAAGAAAGACATAGTAGGATTTGTAGCTAGATGCCTCAACTGTCAGCAGGTAAAGGCTGAGAATCAGATGCCGGGTGGATTACTTCAGGAGATTGAGATCCTAGAGTGGAAATGGGAGAAGATCACCATGGATTTCATAGTCGGTCTCCCGTTGACTGAGAAGAAATTTGATTCTATTTAGGTTATTATGGATCGGCTGACCAAGTTGGCTCATTTCATCCCAGCGTGTACTACTTACTCAGCGGAGCAATTTGCGGGGATTTGTATTAGAGAGATTGTACGTCTGCATGATATTCCAGTTACTATCATCTCGGATAGGGGTCCTCAGTTTACATCACGGTTTTGGAGGACCGTTCAGCAGGAGTTGGGTACCCAGGTGACTATGAGTACAACATTTCACCCTCAGACGGACGGACAGTCCGAGTGCACTATTCAGATTCTTGAGGATATGCTTTGTGCGTGCGTGGTTGAGTTTAGAGGATCTTGGGATCAGTTCTTGCCATTGGCGGAGTTTGCTTACAATAATAGTTATCAATCTAGCATTCAGATGGCCCTGTATGAGGCCTTATATAGTAGGAGATGCAGATCTCTGGTGGGTTGGTTTGAGTCGGGCAAGGCGAGGCTATTGGGTACAGATTTGGTACAGGATGCAGTGGAAAAGGTTAAGGTGATTCAGGATCGACTCCATACATCCCAGTCCAGATAGAAGAGTTATGCGGACCGGAAGGTTCGCGATGTTTCCTTTATGGTTGGTGAGCGGGTTCTGCTTCGGGTCTCGCCTATGAAAGTAGTCATGAGGTTTGGGAAGAAAGGGAAGTTGAGTCCAAGGTTTATTGGCCCTTTCGAGATTTTGAGGCGAATGGGAAAGGTTGCTTACGAGCTTTCTTTGCCTCCCAGTTTGGCCGGGGTTCATCCGGTATTTCATGTCTCGATGTTTCAGAGGTATCACAGTGATCCGTCTCATGTGTTGGAGTTCACTTCAGTCCAGTTGGACAAGGATTTGTCCTATGTTGAGGAGCCAGTGGCGATATTGGACAGGCAGGTCCGAAAGCTCACGTTAAAGGATATAGCTTCAGTAAAAGTTCAGTGGCGGGGTCAGCCGGTCAAGGAGGCGACTTGGGAGACCGAGATGGGTTATGCGCAGCCGTTACCCTCATCTTTTTGCTACTTCAGGTATGTTCTCTATGCTCGTTCGAGGACGAACGAATGTTAAGTGTGGGAGGATGTAACGACCCGACCGGTCATTTTTAGAATTTGCGCCCCGTTCCCCTCTTAACTGCTTCCCCTAAGTTTATCTATGCTATTTTGGTATGTCGCGATGTTCGATATTAGAAGTTGGAGTGTTTTGGGACAATTAGCCCCTAATTTAGAGCTTAAGTGTTGGAAAGTGGTCTGTAATTGGAACAGTGTGAGACAACCACGGAATGGAAATCGGATGGTCCCGTTAGCTCCGTTAGGTGATTTCGGGGTTGGGAGCGTGTCCAGAACAAGTTTTGGATGTCCGTAGCTCAATTAGGATAGAAATGCCGAAAGTTAGAATTTTAAGATTTCCGGTCCGATAGTAAATTTTTTATACGAGGGTCGGAACAGAATTCTGAAGGTTGCTGTAGCACCATCATGACATTTGGGACGTGCGTGCAAAATTTCAGGTCAAACGGACGTGATTTGGTTAGGTTTCTAATCGAAATCGAGTTTGGTTGAGTTTTGAAATTCTTAGGTTCAAATCATCGATTAATTCGAGTTTCCGGCGTTGTTTAGGTGGTTAAAGGATTGGTACAAGTTTGAACGATGTTATGGGTTATGTCCGTGGGTTTGGTTGAGGTCCCGGGGGCCTCGGGTGTGTTTTGGATGCCCAACGGGGCATTTTGTGTTGAAAAAGAGTTGCTGATTTTCTGTTGTTACCGTTGCATACTTTTACCCTCTGCGATCGCATCCTCATTCATGCATTCGCGTAGTGGAATTTTAGAGGTGGCCCATTTTCCTTCAATGTGATCGCACATCTCTTCCTACGATCGCATAATTTCTGTTTCCCCTTCTCTGCGATCGCAAACCCCTTCCCGCGTTCGCACTGAGTTAGCTGAGCCGGTGTCTCAGGGCCCAACTTCATCTACGCGATCGCAGGGCCCTTAAAGCGATCGCATAATTCCGCTACATTCCCTTCTACGATCGCAGGCCCATCCATACGTTAGCATATGCCATTTTCTGGGCCTTCACATTTTGTTCTACGCGATCGCATCCCATTTCATGCGATCGCAATGAAGAAATACCTGGGCGGTATTAAACATTTCAAAATTCGAGAGTTAGCCATTTTTACCAAAACTCAAGATTGGGAGCTCGGATAAGGGAGCAATTTTGAAGGTTTTTCAAAGGAAATTACTGGGTAACAATTCTCTACTCTTCTACGACTAAAGCCCACTAATCTAATCTTGAATTCTACCTTTAATTTCGGATTTTGAATAAAAGTTGGGTAAAGTTCTTAGACCTAGGTATGAGGATTTGAAGCGGCATTTGACCTCCGATTTGGGAGATTTTTATATGGTTAGACTCGTGAGAGTACGAAGTTTTCTGAAAATGTGAAAATTATTCGATTCTGAGACGTTGGCTTGAGGGGCGTTATGATCATATTATCTATTTTCGCGCCTTAGCTTTAAATTTAATAGTGTAATTAGTTACTTGCGATGTTATTTATATTATGTAATTGGTTTGAATATATTCGAGCCATTCGAAGTTGGATACTCATGGCAAGGGCATCGTTTCGTAGTGATTTTGTACCGGTTCGAGGTAAGTGGCTTGTCTAACCTTATGTGGGGGAACTCTTCCATTAGGATTACTAAATTTTTGATTTAAATGTATTGTGCGCGAGGTGACGAGCGTGCACTTGTGTTAATTGTTGAAATCCACCTTAGAATTTCTTAGACAGTGTTTTCTCATTTATTTGATTGTTATAAAATGTTCGTTCAACCTGTGTTAATTATAAAAAGCATGATTAGATAGAATTAACTGCTTAATTGCCTATCTTGCCCATATTGTTCTACGTGCAGCATGTTAGGCTAGTTTACTATAACTGTTGGTGTTTCATGATTGAATTCCTGCACATTCTTGGCTGTGTTTGCGCATTTAAATTGGGACTACTGATGTGAGATTCCGTTAGCTCCCTCCCTTGTTTGTTTATTTTGGGACTACGGATGTGGGATTCTGGTAGCTCCCCCTGCACATTGGAAGTTGGACTTCGGGATGGTATCCTGGGAGATCCTTCGGATAAACTGATATGATGGACTACGGGACAGCATCCGGGGAGATCCACTGAGACAGTTGAGGAAAGGACTACAGGACGGTATCCTGGGAGATCCTCTGAGTACTTAGCATTGAGTTGTATTCTGCTGTGTTAGACCTTTCTTTTCACTTGACTGTTATTTATTCGTAATTCCATTTAAATTGTTGTCGCTCTTTATTAGCTTAACTGTTCATTTATATATTACATCTCTCTACTTTGTTATGTTTTATCTCGGTAGGGCCTCGACCTTCCTCGTCACCACTCAACCGAGGTTAGGCTTGGCACTTACTGAGTACCGCTGTGGTGTACTCACGCCTCTTCTGCGCATGTTTTTCATGTGCAGATCAAGGTACTTCTACGCAGGGGCATTATCAGTAGCTAAAGGAGCATTTCGGAGACTTGAGGTATTTATCTGCCACGTCCGCAGATCCTAAGAGTCTCCCTCTCATTCTACCTATAGTTAGCTAGTTGTTTTCCGTTCTCCTTTGTACTAGATTATTCCGGATGATTAGAGCAGTCTATGTATTATTCTTAGCTTGTGTTGCCCGTGAGTTTCCGGATTTTGGGAGTTGTTATAAATTTTATTGATAGAGTGTATGTGCCATGCAGTGTTGTATACATTCCTCTTGTTATTCAGTAATTAGTTGATATTTTCATAATAGTTGTTGAATTTCGCAATGTGTTAGGCTTACCCGGCCTCAAAGGCCAGGTGCCATCATGACATGTTCACAATTGGTGAACTAGGATCGTGACAGTATAAATTAAAACTTTTTTAAAAAGTGGGTATATGTTAAATGAGGGCGCCCTATTGTGCAATTTTTATGAATATTCCAGGTTGCTTGGCAAATCCGAATTTTCTTAGTTGTTTTTAATAACCATAATATTCGGACCAGCTTTCTGAATGTTTTTATATTGATTTGAAAATCAAGTTCACTTAACTTAAATGTAAAATAAGCTAAGCTATAATGAAGCTCTAGCATTCATCCAAATCGTAAAACAATGAGTGTGAATTAGAGCAGCATATTTATATGAATTCATTTTAATAGAAACAAGTATAGATAGAAAAAAAATAGAATTCCTCATTCACAAAGAAAACATCAAATATAGCAAATACAAATAGCATATAATATATGTTATTTCTCAACCATAAATGCATTGTCCAATGAAAATGCAATACTTATCCAAAATGAAAAAAAGTACTCCACATCCGTGCTTTATGATTGGACCATATATTCAAGTTGAGTGGATTGGGCTATGACCTATTGTCCGGCGTATTTTGACTCAACCCATCTTAGTACAAGTAAACTTTGGGTTGGTTTAAGTAATGACTCATTTATTGATACAACCCATCTTGACCCACCCAAATTCAGTTTAACTCGCCCATTTGCCAGTGGAAATAATACCAGGTAGTCACTCTTAAGGGTTGTTGTTTCGAAATTAGTCAGTATATCATGAATATTTTAGTTTTTCAGGATAAAATATCCTGAATTGTCGTTAAGTTAAGATTTTTAGTTTAAAATTTCAGGATTGTACACTCGTCCCATTTGTCACTCCTATGTCCAACTACCAACTAGATAACTAGGCCGATACTCCATTAATTGATACCATCTTATATCATGCTATAAATAGAGGCAAATTATTCATTAGTTTCCTCATCATTCTTGGCTTTAAATTATCACAATTAAAGTAGTACTTATTAAGTTTTCAAGTAAGAAAAAATGGGATTTAAAGCATTTATAGTTCTAAGCTTTGCTTTGGCTATTTTTGTGTTTATAACCTTTGAGGTTGCAGCTGAGAGCTCAACCAATTCTTTGGAAATCTGTAAGCCTCCTTCCTTTAAAATCTTGATATGATATCAAAATGTAAAAATAACATTTCCCTTTTATTTATTTATTTATTTATGAATGATTGCAGTTTTCTTTTTTAAGTTTGATGTTTAAACTCTTGAGTTTTTCTTTGGAAAAATGATACCTTATAGCTGCTCTCAAAATAATAGTCGAAAAATTATATATTTTTTGTATATATATACATTTTGTATGTCATATACAAAACAATATACAAATTTTATACACTTTTTCGGTTACCAAATGTAGATAATTCTGATGCGGGCTAAAAATTATAATACCCTTTTTTTTTTTAACCTTTTCTACATAGAATACAAGGTTTATATTAATCAACTCAATCAAAGGCAGATTTAGGGCGAATTTTATTGGTTCAACGAAACAACTTGAACAATGAAATACTCGTATTATTAACTACGTTACGATCCTTGGGACGCGGTCCTTCCCCAGACCTTGCATGAACGTGATATACCTTGTATACCAGACTGTCTTTTTTTTAGAGGTTTATAAAAAGAAACAAAAGATCAAAGTCAGAGAGATATATGGAGCCTAATTTATCGAGTTTAGCTAAATCTAGCATTTTCGACTTGGAACATAAGTATATATGTAAAATTGTTAAATTTCGACTAATATTCAATTTTGAAGATAATATTGTAAGTGCTACAGATTCAATTATAAGAACTTATTAAAGGTCGATTTATTAAATTTAAATTCTGAATCGCGCCTCCGATCACATAGTGACTATCCTCCTAACATGCATATATATGATTATTTTTGCAGCAAAGAAATCGGAGAAGAAAAATGAGGTAAATGATGCCAAGTATCCAGGAGGATATGGAGGATACCCTGGAGGAGGATACGGAGGATACCCTAGAGGAGGTTATGGAGGGTACCCCGGAGGCGGGTACAGAGGGTACCCTGGAGGTGGGTATGGAGGGTACCCTGGTGGTGGACGTGGAGGTTATGGTGGCGAATATTGCCGTTATGGTTGCTGCGGCCGCCGTGATTACTATGGCTGCAGGAGGTGCTGCTATGACAAACGTGAAGCCTTGGTCACTGAAGCTAAGCCTCACAACTAATTATTATGGAATATGAAGATTCAACTAATTATAAAAGTTTTGGTGTTGGAAGTATGAATAAATATATATGTATCTTTTCATTTGAATGTATTGTTCATCTATCTATTTGAGTGTAATTGTTGAGACATAATTATAATTAAGTTATTATGTGTACTCTCTGTAATATTTTAAGCTTCTAGATGAGATTGTTACGTTACACAATTTGACATAGCATCAGAGCAATCAAGAGATCATGGATTCTGAATGCTTGACATGATTTTATTTACATATAACTTTCTCCAACTTTTAAAAATTTAAATTTTGGTAATTACTTATATTCTAATTTTAAACTTTATTTGTTCAGATACTTTCTCTGTCAAAACAATTTTTCACAATTACTTCAAAATGCTTGCTAAAGTTTTCATTAGTATTGTATATAGATTCATCGCTATATGATTTTACTACGTACGTGCAATGGAGGCCACAATCTAGCTCAGCGGCGGACCCAGGATTTGGTGAAAGCGGGTTCAGTCGACAAGTCCATAACTAACATAAGTGTTATAAGCCGTATAAGTGGATTCAAAAATAATTTCTATACAAAATTTATCTTGCTTTAGCCATAATTTATACATATACACAATATTATTTTTTGACGAAGCGGGTTCAGTTGAACCCCCTTCCCTCCACTTGGGACCGCCCCTGATCTAGCTAGGTTAATTAAAAGGATAAACAGATCTAAGACAACTAGTTTAGATGCTTGTTATATATCGTTTCATAATGTATGGTATAATGTTATATTGTATAGTACTTTATCATTTTGATGTATGCAATATTTTGAATAGATTGTCTTGTTGATATTGTTTCATAATGAAATACATCAATAATATGAAGAATAAATTGCAATATTATTAAAAAAAAAAAAAGGTTTGAGGTAAAGTTATTACATACAAAGATAGGGTAAAAGATAAAACATGATTAATTAATAATAAGAACCGGCAAGACAACAGAGAAAAAAATAAGGTAACGATATGATCACACCAAATCGGTGGTTTGATAAAGTGACACTTTTTGTTGCTAAGTAACTACGGATTTAATAATACGATATAATAAAATTTAAGTAATAATTAAAATAAACATTGTACTTAAAGTAACATATGATACAATACAACATGTAACAACCATTTGATGCAAGTGGGTGGTTAGGTCCATCTTGATTGTGTGACAAGAAAGTGTCCCAGCTACTCAAAGGTAAGTTTTATAGAGCGGTGGTTAGACCGGCATATTGGTGGGGTTAAGCGTTAGCCAGTTAAGAACTCACATATCCAGAAGATGAAAGCAGTAAAAATGAGGATGTTGAGGTGGATGTGCGGACAACTTGAATGGATAAGATTAGGAATGAAGATATTCGGGAGAAGTTGGGCGTGGCTCCCATGGATGACATGATGCGGGAAGCGAGACTCGAATGGTTCGGGCACGTACAAAAGTGTTGGGGAGAGGTGATCAGGCGGGGTATGGTGAGACTTCACATCTTTGAGGAAAATGACCCTCGATAGGAAGTTGTGGAGGTCAAGTATTAAGGTTATAGGTTAGGAGGTAGTTGGGCATATGTCTAACTCGTACGACTTTGAGGCTAGGCTGATATGATATTCTCTTAAACTGTTAGTGGTCAAAGTTGTGTTCACACTACTCTTCCATTTTCATAGTGTCGGGCCTTATTTATCGGTTATTATATTTTTGTTCCATCTATTTACTGGTTCTTGTGATGTTATTATTTCTATGATTTTTGTTGATGGTACTGATATATTGTCTCTTTTCGTTTTCTTGAGTCGAGGGTCTATCAGAAACGACCCCTCTACTTCCTCGGGTTAGAAGTAAGGTCTGCATACACACTGCCCTTCTCAAACCTCACTTGTAAGATTTTACTGGATCGTTGTTGTTGATTATTCTTGTGCAATTGGATCAAGTCAACAAAACGATCATAATTCAACCCGTTTTCACTTGCACGAGTTAGGCATACTACTACAAATTAGGTTTATTTTTCAACTCTATAATTTGGTTAGTACAAACGAATAGTATATGGTTGGAAGATTTTGTCTTTGCTTAGACTAGTTAAATAAGGTGATTAATATAGTTAGTACCATAACTCCATTTCCCTCCTTAACGAAAACTTGTGATCATATGATCATAGTCAGCCGAGTAGTACCTTTACACAAATAGCCGGATTAATTTTCTGTTTATTTTTTCTAGTCAGCATATATAAATTATACATATATTATATATAAATTGTCTATATATATAATATACATTCGCCGGATATTTTATATTTAAGCATTTGAGTAGGCGACTATCTAAGTTAATTTTATAATTTTTAAATGAAACATCATCTGGAGGCTTTGGTGGAATATAATTGGGCCACTATATCATACAGTCCATTTTTATTCCGGTCGCAGACCAATGAGTTTCTGCGCTTTTGATCATTTAAAAAAGGGGACATTTATGCAATATAAATGTAAAGGAAATAATCCAACAAATGTAATTAGATTGTCTTGGCAAAATTTGGGCAGAGGACAGCTTGGTGCACTAAGCTTCCACTATACCCTGGGTCCGGGGAAGGGCCAAATCACAAGGGTCTATTATACACAGCCTTACCCTGCATTTTTGCAAGAGGCTGTTTCTGCGGCTTGAACCCGTGACGTCCCTGGTCACATGACAGCAAATTTGCCAGTTACGTCAAGGCTCCCCTCCAAAATGTGGAGATAGAAATTAAATAACAGATTCCTAATAAAGAACGTTTAAAGCTAACAGAACTCTAACTATATTACAACTAGAGCATAAATATAGGCTTGTGAAACATAGACTTGTGCTAATACGCTTGGCGTGCATATTAATTCCACCCTTGGAGTTGGTGGTATCCAAAGAGCTTTTGTGCTTAGTGGTGGCTATCGTTAGAGGGTTTAAATTAGTGGGGTTGGTTAAAATTTTTTTTATTAGCTTAGGCTAGTTAATTAATGTCATAAATATAGCTTACCACAAATCTAGTAGGCCTGCCTCGAAGCCTAGTTAAAGAATGGAAAAATTACGCGACATATCAAATGTTTGTACTGTATTTATCATATGTAGTTATACTTTTAGAAAGTTTACCATTTATAATGATATTTGAATTTTATAGCAAATTCATGAAATAAGAGATTCATTATTTTAGATTGAAACGAAAGAGCAACAAGCTCTTGTTGCTTAGTTGGTTAGAGGACTTTTTTTAGTTAGTGGAAGTCTTGAGTTTGACTCTCAATAAGAGCATTTTATTTTTTTGAATTTATGTATTTTGCCTTATATGTTGCGCAAGTGGGGTCCGGGAAGGGTAGTGTGTACGCAGACCTTACCCCTACCTTGTGACGGTAGAGAGACTGTTTGCGAAAGAGCCTCGGCTCCATTTGTATACATATAATAAAATTGACACAACCCCTACCTTATGACGGTAGAGAGGTTGTTTCTGAAAGAGACTCGGCTCCCTTTGTATACATATAATACAATTGACATTGTATACATATAATACAATTGACATAATTGTATTTGTTGTGCGTTTGAATATAAGTGATACAAGCTAGTAACAATTGAACAATAATTACGAATAGTAATTAAAAAAACTATAGTTACTAGACTCTAAACTGTTTGATTCTAATCTGATCAATTTTAGTTCTTCTGTTTCATCTTTCTTTAGGGAAAATTTCTAAATTCACCCTAAAAATCAAGTACCACCCGTTCATATTGTTTTCAACATGTCTTTTTCTCAGGGGCGGTTTAAGGATCAAGCAAGTGAGGCCCTTGCTTTAAGCCCCTCAAAAATTGGGGCCCCCAAATATTGTTAGTAATTATTTTTATGTCCCTAATATTTTCATAAAAAAACTGAATATTGCAAGAAAAATCACTAATTCTTTTGAAAAAAAAGAAGTAGTTATGAAAGAAAGACAACTTAAAGAAGAGACATGGGCAATGAGCTTCTACCTATAAAGAAATATATAATTTTTAACAAGCTATATATTTTTTCTAGGCCGTGTCTTTCAAATTCATATTTGTACATGTTCTTTTTTTTTTTCTTCCTATGCATTTGTATATTCTGTCAAAGAAAAAAAATATCATGTATAATTCGAATTGCACCTTTATTTTCATATTCTTCTCATGTTTTCAAGCATTTAAATAAGAGAATTAAAGAAATGAAACTCTCTCATGGATTAGTTTATTTTGAAATCAATCATCAAGTTATCAAATTTCAGAATTAGGTTTAGTCGTTCTAACTTTCTTTCTTTTTTTAAAAATTTAAACATGCTAACAACAAAATATGAGTAACTTTTTAATACAACCTCAAAAAGATATTGCTAATAAATTTCTGTCAAACAATAGATAAAGTTTAATAAAAAGGTATAGGAAAGTGTTTTTAAAATGAACAAGTGTCCGATCTTATTGAGTTAGATGGTAATAAAATCAAAGAAAAAGAAGAATTCTGTATGTCAAAAGGTTTTTAAAAAAATTACAAATAAACAAATTAGGCTTATTAAGGTCTCTTAATAAAGTTCGCTTTAGGCCACAAACATCATTGAGCCACCCCTGCTTTTTCTTCTCCATTTTCTTCAGTAAGATTTATAAATATAATTTGCTATTAGTGGTACGTTTAATTTATGAAACTATTATTTGTTTGAAAGAAAAGCTACTTTAATTAAGATAACATTTCTAGCAGTAACTGAAGACCTTTATATAATGCAGAAAGAAAACCACACTAAAAAATGCAAACAGAATGATATAATCAATTCTGAACCAGATCATATAAATTGCCCTTAAAGGAATTGCAATAAATTTTAAGAGAAATTAAGCACTCTATATATAGGTGCTTTCTAAAAAAGTCGACTTTAAACAATCTATTTATTAGCAGCCAGCTTAATTAATAATTAGTCCGGTAGGTACTCCATTAATACAATCTTCAATATTTGCCCCCAAAATATTCATATGATTATACTATAAATAGAGGCGAAAATTTTCATTAGTTTCCTCAAGCAAGAAAAGAAATTATGGGATCAAAGACATTTATGTTTCTAGCCATTTCTTTGGCTATTTTTGTAATAACATCAGAGGTTGCAGCTAGGGAGTTGGCTGACAGCTCTAACGGTAAGTTTCTTTCCTTTTAAGACATTTTCACTTAAAAGTTGATTTTGGTATCACAAAAGTGATTTTCCAAGAAAATATTTTTCATGAAAAAGTCATTTTCTGTTATTAGGCTCGGTTTATTTTGTATTTACTTTAGTTCTTAACGATTAGATTAATCGAAAATGAACAAATAAAGTATCACAGTATCTATCGACCTAACATGCATATGCGTGATTATTGGTGCATGCAGCAAAGGAAAATGACGCAAAACTTGTAGGAGGCGGACTTCCAGGATTTGGAGGAGGCGGAGTTCCAGGATTAGGAGGAGGACGACTTCCAAGAATTGGAGGAGGCGGACTTCCAGGGTTTGGAGGAGGCGGAGTTCCAGGATTAGGAGGGGGAGGACTCCCAGGATTTGGAGGAGGCGGACTTCCAGGGTTTGGAGGAGGATTTCCAGGGTTTGGGCGAGGTAGGTTTGGTGGATATCGTGGAGGCGGATATGGTGGATATCCTGGCGGTGGCTATGGTGGATACCCTGGTGGTGGCGGCGGTGGATACTACGGAGGTTATCCAGGAGGAGGATATGGTGGATTTCCTGGTGGTGGTTATATATGGAGGACACCCTAGAGGTGGTGAGTTTGGAGGTTGACCTCGCAACTAAATATTTTACTAAATTAGGAATATATATGAAGAATGTTCATGGTGACTATTTATATATTGTGTGTTTAGTAATGTATTTTTTTTTGTTGAAAGGATGAATAAGAGTGGATTTCCTTTTTCTCTTACATGTAATTGGAAGTCATATATTTCCTTTGTATTTATTCTCTTTCCACTTTATGTTATACTATTATTGTTTAAAGAGTAAAAGAGGTTCTTCTTTGCCATGATATTCTCAAATATTGACTTATAATATTCCGTCCATCCCAATTTATGCGAGTGTTTAACTCTATAAAGCTCAAGAAAGAAAAAAAAAATTAAAACTTATGATCTAAAACAAGCCATTGAAGCTTGTGTGACTCTAAAATAAATAAATAAATAAATAAATCAAGAAGCTTGTGTGACTACCAATCATCTGATTAATTGTAAAATAAGAAGTTTAAAGTTAAACCGTTGTTAAATATAAATATACAGTCATTTTTTTGGGACAGAATAAATATAATTAAAAAAGTCCCATAAATTGGAACAGAGGAAGTAATTTTGTACAAGTGGGAAAATTTACATTAATTTTGTACATTTTGTTACAGCCCAAAAATTACAAGTGGCATGTACACCGATGGCTTTTATTTTACCAGTTACATTCGATCCTAGTATGTAAATAACTAGGAAATACACAACTAAGCTTCCAAAAGAAATTGGGAGGGCACCTCACTGTTACATATGATCAAAACATTAAACAAAGTTCCACCCTTTTTCTGGCATTTGTATTTGGTCCATTCTTGAGCATGGCA